TGCAGACCTCATGAATAATTAATGCAGACCTCATGAATAATTAATGCAGACCTCATGAATAATTAATGTTGTCTCATGAATATGTAATGTAGACCTCATGAATAATTAATGTTGGCTCATGGATACTGTGTAATGTAGACCTGAATATGCAATGCAGACCTCATGAATAATTAATGTTGCCTCATGAATATGTAATGCATTCATGAATAATTAATGCAGACCTCATGAATAATTAATGTTATCTCATGAATATGTAATGTAGACCTCATGAATAATTAATGTTGTCTCATGAATATTTGATGCGGACCTCATGAATAAATAATGTTGGCTCATGGATATGTAATGCAGACCTCATGAATAAATAATGTTGCCTCATGAATATGTAATGCAGACCTCATGAATAATAAATGCTGCCCCATGAATGTGATGAAGCCCTCGTGAATAATTGTTGAATAATTAAGGTGTCAATGATGTCCTATCAAGCAGTTGAAAATCTAGATTGCTTTAATACTTCTTTTTGAGCAGATTTTCATCATCAAATTGTTGAACAGAAATTGACGAATTTAAAGAAACTAGCCTCCCATTTTTTAGTCAGAATTCAGTAATATGATATAGAGTATTTTATCAGACTAGTTTCCTTTTTATTTTGTTAAATGTCCAGAGTATAGTTTTTCTGTTTAACCCTTTGAACGCCATAGTCTTTTTTTCATAATTATTCAGAACATTAGAAAAATATATCACAATTTATAATACCATTCTCATTCATCCTCATTGCTTGATTGGTACCACCTTCAGCCCGGTTATCAGACCATAACAGGGATGTACAGATCATGTGTGACCAGCTCATTCATCGTCATTCAGTCTTCCCTAACATTTGTAAGGATGGTTTAAGCAACAAATATCACATGTTCAGGTCTTGATAATTAATTGATGTGCACATGTTAACTTCTACGCATAACTGAAAGCATTCAAGATGGGGCCAACCAGCCTATCTATTCCTTTCTTCTCAAGCATGTATATTCAGTTTTTTTGACAGTCCATGGTATTGTATTTGAAATGAACAACTCCACACTGCCAATTATTGTGAAATAACCTGGCTTGTATAATGTTTAATTTAAATAATTGAGTTGACTAAGTCTCGTCTGTTATTACACGCATTCCGATCCTTGCCTTGTTATATAATAATAGACGAGATGAGTCCTTCACTTTTTAATCTTTTCACCATCCAGACTGACTTGCCCAAATTTGTCTGCACTTTTTTCTTCTTTTCTTGAATATTTCTGGAAATGAACCCTAATTTTGGACCCAACAGACAAAATTTGAGTCAGTTTTCACACAAAAGATTTGGCTATTTTTGTCCCAATCTTCTGAAGGAAAGTGCAGACTATATCTGTAAATGGGACTAATTTGTGAATTTATGATGAAAAGAGGGAACTGGTGGTGAAAAGTTATATAAAAGTTCACATACGTTTTGCAGATAAATTCAAATGGTTAATTCAGTGTAGTTACTTCAGATTACCATATTGCCAGGGTGATTGCAGATTGCTTTCATTTTTGAAGCCTCCCTCCTCCCTCTCTCTTACAATCATGTACTTGTTTCAAATCGCTTTGTATATAGCACTACCAGCTGAGAACAAATGTACAAAACAACTCAACGACAAAAATTGTTTTTGATTTATTTTGGTATGAAAATTGGACCAACAAAAAAAAAAATTTTAAAATGTAACTTATACATGGAAAATTTGTTAGATTATTTTGAATTGAAGAAAAATAGTTAATGTTTTTATTTGTTGGTAGATAGTTTTAGATTTTATTGTTATCTGATAATAAAACACTGGGTGTTATAAAAATATTTATCGTATTACCTGTATTAGACCTGTGCATTTCAAAAAGACATCAGTAGGTCAATGAACTTTATGTCAAATGCTGTGTTATTTATGTGCATAATGAATTTGGCGTTTCTAGACTACCATGATGTTGTAAAATGCTGTGTAAACTATGTGCATAGTAAATTTGCAGTGTCTGGGTAACCATGATATGTAAAAG